CATGGTTTTTAATACCCAGCCTACTGAATCAGTCTACCAAATGGTTTCATTTTATCTACTCATGTTTTATTAATACGCCAGTTTGTGTAACGTATGTTTTGAAACAGCGTTCTAATTTTTACCATTAGGGAGAAATTAGATTAAAATGTCTACTCCAAATTTTGCGTATAGGTCTGAAAATCTGCTACCGAGATTTTAGAAATATTTTGTTAGCTTTTAGTTGAACATTTTTTAAACCGTACACAAGTTCTTTTAGTAGTATGCGCGTTTCAAGGCCAGTTGAATGTTGGTTTAAGGAGCATTCAAGGCGAGATGTCATCATCAAAAGACCAGAAAATGAGGAAATACGAATTCCAATATAGCTTCACCGTGTTCTTTAAAATTAATTTAAAGTTGAAGCCTACAGCTTCCTGGCTGCAACCTGAAGTAGAATAGCAGGTGATTTTGAGCGGCCTTCGGGAAGAGGACTTCCGTGATTCTTTTGCAATTAAGAAAAGGCGTTGGGATCGGTATGAACGTTCCAAAAGAAACTATTTTCAAGAGAATAACTACTAAAATTAAATATTATATGAACACAAAAAAAAAGTTGAAGACAAAATTGTTAGCCTCTATGAAAATTGAAGATTTTAAAGATGTTTCCAAAGTGCTTTTTAACAGAAAAACTAAATTTTCATACAGAATTGCTAAACATACGAAAAAGTACATGATATTATAAACAGATGCGTGAAAACATGATACAGTGTAACCCGGATATAAGAGAGGTGCCGAGACCGAAGAAGTATCTTATATCCGGGTTTCTCTTATATCCGGGTTTGGTCTATTTTGTTTACATTAACCCAGGCTCTAATTTGGGACCAGAGAAAATCTCTCTTATATCCGGGTTTCTCTTATATCCGGGTTACACTGTATTTAAAAAGCAACAAAGAAACACAATGCACACCAATAGACCAGTGGCTAAAATTAGTGGGGTGTTTAAAGAGATTTTAGCTATTGCTTTAATATTGTGCAAAACGAAACAAAAACATAAAAAGAAAACTTATACATAATTAAGTTTATGTATAAGTTTTCTTTTTATGTTTTTGTTTCGTTTTGCACAATATTAAAATCCTAAATGAAAAAAATATTTTTTTACTTACGTATAAATTGTTACAGTTTTTAAGCTTGATCCATTGATTTAAAAATAAAATCCATTCTTCTTGTTTTACTTTCAGCGAAAAGATTAAGAATTCTTTTCCTTGGTAACTGTTAAGGAAATTTTCTCCATTGAAAGAACTGCAAGTGCATTTAGTCTTTCAGGATTCATAGTGCTCCTTAGAAAAGATTTTATTTTTTTCAGTGTTGAAAAGCAGCGTTCTGACTGTGATGTCATGGAAATTGTCAACAGGATTTTTATCAGATTCGTAATTTCACTAAGAACACCATCGAGATTATTTTCCAAGATGAATTTCAGCAGCTCAATTAATTTGCAATATTCATGCATATTGGATCTACAATAGAATACTTTTAGTCCAGTTTCAAGCTTTTCTTTGTCAATCATGGCATATGCTTCGGTATTAAGCACTATCTCTTCTGTAGGTAGTTAATTCTTAAAACTAGAGAAGCTTTTCTTGTTGAACAATTTAGCAGCTACTAAGTGTTAGGTGGAAGAATATCTGCTCCATTACATCAAAACATATGCATTCACACACTTTATTTGCTTCTGTTATGAGTGTCTTAGAAAGATTCTCATAGTACTTGGAGTTCCTTATTTCTAAAATAGCAATTTTGAAATCTGTTATTTGCTCATTGACTTTAAACACTAACTTCTCAAGATTGCATTTGGTTGTAAATTACTTCAACATGAGGCGTAATCTGATGAAAAATCTCTAACCAAAACATGAAATTATCATCATTCAGGTATTGTAAAATTCCTATTGTTTCAGCAATGGTTTGATCTGCATTTAATGTTGACTTAATTTCATTAAACTAGCTTTTTAAAGGTTTCAAATTTTCATGAACTCCGTATGTTAATGTTCCACCTTGTAGAAAATGGACATGGAACGCTGACATCTATATGCTTCTTGAGAATGGATGCACGTTGTGGTGATCTTGAGAAGAATGTTGGAATACTCAAAAGTTACCTCGAACAGGATTTCTTAAATGAGATAGATATTACAGTTAAGAGATGCGTGGGTCGGAGTCGGGATCCGTCTTGGACTCAAATTATGTGAGCTTCACAGATGCAGATGTGGAGCTTCGATCGATGAGTTTGGTTTGCATCCTCTCTCCTGTCGTCGTAGTGCCAGCCGCTTTCCACGGCATGCAGCAATAAACGACATCATCAGAAGAGGTTTGGATGCAGTTGGATTCCCTTCCCAAATCGAATTCGTAAGCCTCGACCGTGGTGATGGAAAGCGGCCAGATGGCATTGCCAGTTTCCCTTTTAAAATGGGGAAGTCATTGATTTGGGATGCGACCTGTGCGGATATATATTCGGCCGGTAATTTGATCAGGTCCGCCGTTGAGCCGGGGTCCGTCGCCCGGGACGCAGAGATAAAAAAAAATATAGTCAAATATTCTTCTCTTGCTGATAGATTTTTTTTACTCCTGTGGCAGTGGAGACTTCAGGGGTTATTGGCCCTCTTTTGAAGAAGTTCATTCGGAGGATTGGCGCGATTGCGTCTCGATTAAAGGACTAGCCTCGCGAAACGGAGTGGCTCTTGCAGTGTGTCTCACTGGCAATGGTTCGAGGTAATGCTTTCTCCATCATTGCGGCTGGCAGAGGATAGCAAAAAAAAATTGTTTATAATTTCTGGAATTGTCATCAATGGTCAACTGAACTTGCTTTGTTTCAACAAAATAAATTATGTCAAAATGTTAGAGAAAAATATGATTGCGTTCCGTGTAATACTTGCTGCATTTCTCATTATTAATTCAAGTTGCATAACAGAGAATGAAATGTGCACTACTATAAACTGCTTTTATTTTTGCCTGAACTTTTTGCCTGAACTTTTTGCCGTCCATGACATTTACACTATCAAATGTCTGAGCTGTCAGTTTGTGTCCATTTCCTTGAAAGAATGTCTAATTGTTCTGGAATACCTATTAATATGCCATCTGCAGTTTGATTTTCTGAAATAAAAAATCCCTGTAAATGCTCAAATATTTCTTCATTCAACCGTAGAACAATGATCATTTGAATGTGTTCCGAAACATCAGAGTTATGTCATCAGCCATGATGACTATAAACGAAGCTTTCCTAATTCCTGTCCTTACCTCGTCGACGTATCTTTGTATCAGGTAGTCAAGTATCTCATTTTGAATGGTCTTAGAAACACGTATAAGTTTCTAAGTGATTCTTCAAATCTGGAGCTAATTTTGATGCAAAATTTATTAATCCTCTAAATACCCCTGGATTTACTGAATCATCTTTTTCACGTTATGGAGTTTCAAAGTTTCCACAAAATAAAATACAGTCTATTATTTTAGATAAAATTTTACGATTAAAATTTTCTATAGAATAAAACAACCGAAAAAAACCCAATGAATTAAATAGAATAACTGGAAGCATGATAGTTATCTACGGTTTATCACATTCAAAAATATGGTAGACGATTTTTAAGCACAACACACGAAGTGTCAAAAATAAATACTATCTTACACTCGGACAACGGGGTTGGCACTACATGAGAGACAGTATTCTCTCTAACCAGCGTTCAGCTCCTTTCCTTGGAGATGTGCACATGCGCACAAACATGCAAAACATCGCATTACTAGAATTGTGAAGTCCCATACGAGGATTTTTGTAATTTTTCATGAACCAGAGGATGGCTACCGGCATTAAGCTTAAGGATTATATAATGTGCAAGTATAAAGAAAGAATTGAAGAACAAAAGACTCATTATATTGAATGTTATCAATAATATCGAGTAAAAATAGTGGACGCTGCAGTACATATACACGAGTTGCCACTGCAATAGACACAACTTTTTTAACTCATAAAACACTTTCGAAATGGCTTTCGGCTACTTCTTTAGTTATTTTCAATGGTTTTGTTATTAATTATTGTTAATTTTTTTCACGGTCGTTGTATTGTGTGATGCATATTGTATAATAGTGGCGTTTATTCCGAGCTGGAACTCAGGTTGACGTCCTTTTTATTTTAAAATCCTTTAGCACATTGTTTCCGTTGTTAAATAAAGATTAATACTGGGTGCCAGATGTTTTATATAGAGTGCTTCTCACACAGCGAGATGTTTACGGTTAATCTGCTATTTGATCCGTATGTGGGTGTAGAAGAGATGCATTCCTGCCTTTTCCGAGGACACGTTTGAACTCTGCCTGCCACGTTACACTACACACACATAAGAAGCCACGAAGACATGTAATGGTCTACGAACACCAGTAAAATGAACGAAATTTTGACAATAGACAAATCGATGACATGATAGATTATTTTTTGTCTCCAGTTCTTAATTAAAAAAAAATTATATATTTTGTGACAGAAATACCTCCCACATTTTAAAGGTTGACAAAAGAACGAGGTAACTGTTATTAAAAAATAATTTCCCTGTTACTTAAACAAATGACTACAGTTTTTGTCCATATAGTTTTTAAAGTTACATCCTCCAACTGGTAACCGCTATCCACCGTACATTTTTGTAGACGATTTCTAAAGTTTTCATTCGCGATCTTCTAGATGACTTTCTTTAAGCGCTGAACCTGTGGCCCTGATATTTTCAACCCATAGTTTTATCGATTTTCAGAACCATTCCGACATAACATGAAATGAGCACAAACAGCTCTGTGTTGCAATTACAGATTCACAAATCTTCAAAATGGTTTCAACAGCAAACGCACGGTATGCATCAGTCCAAGCCATGATGGTAATTGATGATATCTGAAAAGAAAAATGGTAAGACATTAGCTAGATGAAGACACCGTTGCCACTAAATTCACTAGAACCACACAGAATGGCGATGACGAAGACATTCTGAAGTAGAAGACTAAATATCCGCTCTTACGCTCAAATCATGTTGAAACACCGGTCCCCGTACAATCACAGAAGTTAAGCAACGTCGAGCCTGGTCAGTCCCTACTGGGTAACCGTTTGGGAATACAAGGTACTGTATGTTTGGATGTACGGATTGTGTAATGGATAACGGCTCGGAATTGGAAATCAAAGAGCCGAGTTCCAATTCTGGTCGGGTTCGTTTATATTCTCTTACATACAAATACACTTTGAAAAGGTATCAATCCACCCCCTGCCATGGGTTAGTTAGTAGAACTTGTATCAGCAAATCATTATTACCTCCCAAAGAATCTTGCAATCTAAAAATATTTTCTGACTTTAAATAACCTGCAAATGGTTGATAAAAACAAAACAATCAATTAAAAAAATCTCAAGTGGACACCCCCACCTTCCTTCTTGTAATCGGTACCTTCACCCAATTTAAGGATGGAGTCCTGTTCATTACCCACTTCTCCAAATAGCCATATTGATTATCCAATGTGTTCCATATATGAACAGACTAGTTACGATGTTGTCCTGTCTAAAAAAAGTCACAATAAAAGCCGTAAAAGACAGACTCGTTCGAAAAAAATACAGTTTTTTACTCAAAATGTCATTGAATCAATCTTCAGAAACGCCAACATACAAATTGATCATTTTGGGTTCGATTCGAAACTCAAGCAAACATCACCTGAAGAAGGCCGGACCGTACGACGGCTGAAACGTTGTGAATGTGACAATAAAGATGAGGACAACAGTTCGAACAATGTAAATAGTGTAAATAATTTTTAAAAAATACGTAATAGAAATGACTTTGCTTGGAAAGTTACTTGAGCAGGTTTATTATTGTTGTTGCTGTGTGTGTGTGTGTGTGTGTGTGTGTGTGTGTGTGTGTGTGTGTGTGTGTGTGTGTACATGCGTGGGTATGCGTGGTTCAAATGTCTCTTTGACTTATTTGGTAAAAGAAATAAATTGAATCAAAATTTAAGAATAAACTTATTTCTTAATTCAAAACGTTTCTAAATCCATTATATGCCTTGATTATTGAAAGCAATGTAAAATATTTTGTTCACTTTGGACATAGTTGTTTTATTGGTCTTTAGGACAAACAGAAACAAAAAGGATACATATACTTAGAATAAGAAAGAGACAATTGTAATTTTTGGGGCACATAATAAGGAAAGAGGACTTGGAGAATTTGACACTCCCAGGGCATATTAAAATCAAAAGAGACAGAGGAAAACTTCGAATAACCTACATAACGAGCTTGTGTAAATAGTTAACAGAACAGGGATTAGAAGAGATTAAAAAAACTAAACCTTATTAAGAGTTAAAAAGGACCGAAAGCTGTGGAGAAATATGATCGCCCACGTCTTAAAAGGACACAACACAATATCACAGCCATAACGTAAACCGGATTTAAATACAGTCAGTGCACAACAAGTAATATTTATTGATGGTTTATATACATCAAATGTAGCAGAAGGATTAAATTGGGGAGGATGATCTTTGTCATGTCTTAACATTTGACTTAGTTTCGAGAAAGCATCTTTCTCTTTTCTGACAAGCCTGCAGACCTTTGTTACAATTTCTCTCGTTTGATTCTGAAGTCTTCAAATGGAAGTTATCCACACTTAATGACGATAATACATCCGGTTTTCTTATACCTTTTGTTTGGATCTTTGCTGCTTGCCTTCCTTTGTTATCTTCTCTAGGACTTTTTATTTAAACTAAAAAATAAATGTCTTTTTCGCTTTTTTTTTTTTCAATAAACAAATCTCTTCGCCATGGTACAATTAAGAAATACTAATGTGCACGTATTATTTAAGTGAATGTGTATGTGTGCATTTGCAAAGATGTCTGTGTCGATGCCTGTAAAAATGCATGAGTGAAGAATACAAAACTTTGCATTGTTAGGTTTGAAAATCCAAGTGAATTCGAAGATTCATGAACGAAAAATTAAATATGAAAATGCCAAATGCTGAAAATTAAAAGAAAATGTTTTTTCGAAATATTTTTTTCACGAAAGATTATCAAAAAATGAAAATAAGAATAATACAAATTTCAAATAAATTGAAAGTCAAATGTTTGTTGTTGTTTTGTTTTTTTTATTTTGTGGTTGGCATGTCAACACGGAAAAATTCTGCATAAGGGGTTATTAACTGGGAAAGAAATTTGTTGCATTTATTTGAAAGGTTTTTTCCTAGTTTTATTTCTCATTTTATTTGCATTTTGTATTCAGATTCATGTAGCAATTATGACATTTTTAAATTGTTACAAAGGGATGAAAAAAAAAGATTTTTTCACGAAGAACAAGTATGAAAGACAAGCGAATTTTGCGTTAAACACTTTCCTTGATAAAATTTTAAGCGAAATGATTGATGTTTCGTATAATCATGCAGTTGCTCTCATGCGCATGCGTGTGCATGTTTGCGTATGTGAATGTGGGCGAAGAACTGCTTATACAAAGGAAGAAAAAACGGGAACATAACAACATTATTTAAAATTAAAACTGGATTTGCTTGTTGTATTATACTGTGATGGGTAAGGTTATGTTGTTGCTGGATGCGACACTGGTTTTTAAAGGATGAAACAATTAATGAAGTAAGAACAACAGAAATCTCAACAATTTTGATGTTTCTCCAATTAATAGAAAAACATCAATGTATGAATTATTTTACATTCTATGGGAATAAAGAAATGTCTGTAGTTATATATATACTGTGATTGTAGTGTTGGGTCATCCACGGTAGAGCAGGGTTTCTCAACACGGGCGATATCGCTCACGGTGGACGATTTCAACTGTTGGGTAGGCGATGAGCAACTAAACATAAAATGGTGGATGATTGGAAATTTTGGTGAGTTCTATAGGATTTTGAATATAAAAAAGGTATTTCAATATATGCTACTCGGAGAAAATATTCAAAGGAGATATTCAAAGAACTTAAATTAAAACAAATATGAAAAAAGGAGACTAAATAGGAATAACTGGGTCACATTCCTAGATAAGTTATAAATATTCCCGCAAACACGGAATACTTTGGTATCTTTTATAGTTTTGTGAAGGGCCATTAAGATTCAAATACCTCTTCAGGTGAAATAACATTATTTTTTTCGGATATAAATCAGATAAGGGAAGAGCAACAACAACTTTGCCAGTAAAATTAAAAAGTTACCTCAGGATAATTTTTATCTAATATAAAATTGTTTTTACTTTTTAAAAATTGGGCATCTCGAATTTATCAAGGCATAAAAAGTGCCCGTCAAAACATAATTTGGACATCATTGCTTTTGAATATTTACTCTATAGATGGGCGGTGAAAAATTTGAAAGTGGACGATGGTGCAAAAAAGGTTGTGAACCCCTGGGATAGAGTGAAGTCCGCCTGTAGTTACAAATGCCCGTTTGTGTGACTGGGTTATATATATATATATATATATATATATATATATATATATATATATAACGAAAAGAGTGCAAAATATCACTTTTCTCTATGTCCTCTTTTCTTTTTTAGCCACAAGACATGTGAGAGATAGGGCATAGTTTGTTTCCCTTCTCGGATACCAGTTAATCTAATGATACCTTGAACACAATCCAGAATGTACATAGTATGCAAAATGCACATGTTTATTTGACAACGTAAAAAAGTAACTGATTGTACCAAACGAAAAAGAAATTCTATTCGCGTGTAAGACTCTCGACATGTTCAATAGAAATTTACACACACGTACATACGAATAAAGACATCTCTACACAAACCTCCATTTACTGTTTTTGCATAATTTCTACACTGGCGTGCAAAAGTTTTGGAAATACTACATAAAATGATTATGCAACTTTATTTTATTTTACTGGGAAGTTAAGTTAACAGTATGTTTTTATCAGTAGTTTCTGTGGCGCTTAAGGATTGGCAAATAAGTTGTTGCATTTTTGTGAGTGCCGTGTAACAGAAGATAAACCGCTTTAAGTTGCTTGAAGCTGGGAAAAAAGGCTATAGAAAACGATTGCGCCAATGAAATATCTAAATAATAAAGTCATGATGATAAAAAAATGTCTAAAATAAAAGGAATTGCTCCATCTTATTAACATGAGTATAAGATGTCTTGGTAAGTCATTATAGTTGAACGTTAGCTTGCTTTTATACACTAAAATCATGGCTAAAACTTCTACTGAAAGAAAGAAGAAAATTGTGACTTTGAAGGGGAAGGTGACACGCGAGATAGACCGCTGGGAATTTCAAGAAACAGTGTCCAAACCATCGCAAAGACTTTTGCTAGTACAGGAAGTGTAAAGAAAAACCGGAAAACCACATAATTTAAATAAGAGAGATGACAGAAAGATTCAGTAAGCAGTCCAAGATTAAAAGCCAGACGAGTAAGGATTGAATTTAGTCCTAACAGTGAAGAGGTTTCAGTTGATACAGTACACAGAATATTACGAAGAAAACAACTTTAACGGACAGCAAATAAAACACCCCTAACCAAAAAAATACCGGGATAGAATATTGAAGCGACCAAAAGAAAATCTAACATGAGATGCTGGAAAGTGACAAGAAAAGTAATTTTTAGTAATGAATGCAAATTAGAGTTCCATTCGAATGCAGTGTTACAATGGCACACCAAGGAGCAAATATCACAGCACACTTAGCAATATTTTTAAAGGGTATACATTTAAATGTTATGAAATAAAACCATAGTTTAAAACAAATATACACACAAATATGAACTTATTTTATTTCAATATTTCAATTCAATTATTTGTGCATCTTATTTAGTGTGTAACCTGTGCCTGGTATTTTTTTTTTTTTTTTTTTCGCGATTTCTTCAATGTTTGGTCGAATGTGCGATAAGCAGACCTTTATTTATTCTTTAGTTAAGCGTAATCTTTCTCGCTTGATATTTTTTATATTATTTGGGGTTGAGAAGCCTAATTCGCATGAACAAGAAGTAGAAAATTGCAATAAAACTGATAAAGCCATTTTAGCTAATATGGAATATTCCTTTTGTATTGAAATCCCAAATGGATCAATGGGTTCCGTCGAATGTTTTATTTTGAGCCCGAGATCACGAGAAATGTTTTATTTTGAGCCCGAGATCACGAGAAATGTTTTATTTTGAGC